TTCACAATAGCAGCCAGGTGCCACCAACGGGGTCCCTCCTGCGTGAACCTGGTGCCATCGCACCAACAACCTCCCCCTCACGCTCCCTCTCTCCCGGTCTCGTAAGTGCAGGATTCGAGCCTGGACGGCAGCCCCAGCCAGGGTGAAAACGCAGCCCCCTGCCAGTTGCCCCTCAGCTGTTTCCACAGGAAAACCGGTATCGCCACCCTAGTAATAATGAGGGAGTCGCCTCCGCGGTCTCATCCTTCCTGATGTAGCAGCAAGTTGGACCCACAGCTCGTCTCTGTCGGCATCCCTGGCTGCACCGCCATGGAGCGGCACCGGCCTGGCGGCCGCGGAAGGACATGGCCCGGGACAGGGACGGAGAGGCAGCGAGCGCTGCGGGGACGCTGGGGGCTGCCGCCCGGAGCCGCTCCGGGCGCTGCGACGCAGGGCAGGGCGGCAGCGGGATGGGGAACCACCGCGGCCCAGAGCTTGTGCCCTGCAACCGAGGCCACCCGAGCAGTATCGGTTTCATAGCAGATTCATTTTGCATTTCTGAGGATAAATGCAGCCGGAAAGGCCGCGGGCTGATTGGCACGGGCTGCATGGAGCGAGAGGCCTGGAGAGGCGTGGGGGGTACGGAGCGGGGTCTCCTTCCCACAGGATCTCCTTCCCATGGGATCTTCTTCCTGCTTCTTCTCCAAACTGCTCGTACCCAGAGGAAAACCCAGGGGGAAAGACCCAAGCAGGATGGATGGAGGCTGCCCCGCTGAGCTCCGAACCTCCTCTTTTTGCCCCATTCCCAGAGGGGCCACCAGGCCTCAGCATGGACTGTGAGGGTCCCCGCCACCTTCCCGGGTGGAACCGGGGACATCTCTGAAGGGAACAGGCCTTTTCCTGCCTTCCTCTGTCCCCAAGCGGGGGAGGGAAGGAGGCAGCGGCGGGGGAGGGGACCAGAACCGCAAGTGGCGGGTGCAGGGAGCAGCACTCGGTTAAGCAGGGGGCAGCGATGGCCGCGGCCGCGCTGCGCCCGCGCTAAGAAGTGGCACGTTTAAAGCCCAGAAGAGCTCCCGAGCGCGCGGCGGCGGCGCCATGGCGGGGCGGGCC